CCATACTCCTCCACGAGTGATTATGGGGAGCTGGGCTATGAACCATGAAGCGTGTGAAACTCTAAATGTTGAATCATGACTAGCACGTGTCCCGGAATTGCGAAACGTTCGGAAATTACTGTCGTCTACGAGCGGGTGGTTTTCGGGGACAGAAGGCCCCAAGCAAGGTTTCAAGCTTAAGGCTGCCAGATTCCTGGATCTCAAGCCCGAAATCTAATATTCCCTCTTATTTGGGCACAAGGCCTTAAGCCCCAAGCAAGGCTTGGCTGATAGGCAGCAGCCTGACAGCCAAGATTTCCCTCTTCTCCTTGCTCCAACATCGCTTCAAACCCAGCCCAAATTTGGTAAGCAGCTTGCACCTCTCAAAAAATGCCAAAGGCTACCCTCAAAACCTACAGCCTGCAACACATCTCGAACATGGCTGCAATCGCTCAGTTTCCCTGACTGTTTCTTCTGGCACCCGGCAAGCCGTGAGATCTCCTGAGCTCTCCCTCTTCCCTCCTCTTCCATGTCGCCTTTCTCCTCTTCACCCGGCCCCCCCCCCCCCCAGGAACCCCCCAACCAATATGGCCACCTAATTGTTGAGAGGGGGCAGGGGCTGTTACACTCATCAGAATACAACATTATCCCACTGCCGTGGTGCTGAGTCAGAAACTGTGAACTCATCCTCATCCCGTCCCTCAGTACAGATACAGTAGGAACCTTCCAACTAAACCAGATCAAGATGCCCCCGACACTGCAGTACTCTGCCCGCACATCGCGAGGCGATCAGCAGCCCAGCGCTCAAAGTCGGGCAGCAGCCTGGGGCAAAAGTCTTGCAGGATCATCTCGCACATGTGCGGCAGTCGCAGCTGTTCCACATTCTTGATGCCCGAGATCTTGAGAAACAGTGGGATAGTGCCGTTGTCGTCCAGCATGCTGCGGATCTGCGAGAGCAACTTATTTTTGGGAAAAACATCCGGCCAGGCGCCTCTGTGCAAAATGTTGCCGCACAGGTCTTGATCTAGCAGCATGCAAAGGTCCATGACAGGCGCGACCTCCCGCTCGTAGAACCACCGCGGAATCGCTGTGTGTTCCTTCAAGCATTCTTGGGGGTCGGTGTTGCACCGACCGAGCTCGTCCACGCTCACAAAGTCCATCAAAGCAAGGCTGATAGGAATATTGTCCAACCCTGTGTGGTTGACAGATGTGGTTCCACCCCCGAAAATGCAGCACATCTCCTGGGCATTAAAGTCCTTGCTGTCATACGCACCTTGAGCGACCCTGCTATACACAAAGCCGACACCGCTGGCAGAACGCGACTGCGCATGGGAATCATCAGGAAAGTACCATCTGCAGGGCAGCCCATCGCGATCTGTCTTCCCATAGTCTGTGTCCTCGCACTTGGGCAGGCGGCAAGCCGCACCCCCTCTGAACAATAGCTCCGCATCAACCTTTACGAGTTTGCCAGTTTCTTTCAGCAATATCATAGCTCGCCCATGTTGACCGATAATGGTGGCTGGGCTCCTCTTGCCCCTGGCGATTTGAACTTCCAGGGCTGGCTGCGAAGGGAGATGCGTCTCCTTCTCCCAAGTGGAATTTCCAGAATCCAGCATCGTCACAACCTTACGGGCTCTTTGAAAACGAATACACCATCCCCACATCACTACTCATCAGGAACCTTTTCCAGCGAAGCAGGAGCAAGCAACTGCGTCTACGGCTTCGCCCACAGAGCACTTGACTGTGGGCACGCGCTGGGCCATGTCCTGAATCAAGGGGTGCTTAGAGCCCCAAACTTTGATGTGCGCCAAGCCTACGCAACACCGCGTAGGACCGCGCTTGACAGTTGCTGGAGGCTTGGGCTGCAAGGACCTGGGGTGAAAAAATTTGAAACCCTAAAACCTCAGCTTGCCCGAGATCTAACAGCAACCACGAGGAACTGCACCTGTCCTTCAGCAGCTGGACCAGCTCCATGTACATCCGCGGCAGCCCGGCCTTGCTTCGGCTCAAGCCCTGCCCGAGCTGCAGGGCTTCAGCGTAGGTCCACTTCCCATCGCCGTCGATATCCAAGAGATCGAAATTACGAGCCAGCAAAATCTCCTTGGTTTCGTGCTGTGTGCGCGCGCAGGGTTGTGCAACATCGAAATTGCTCTTTCGCCAAAACAGTCGAGGTGCCTCCCTGACGCAAACCAAAGCCTTGTGAGTCAGCTCCCTGGTGTAAAACATCGAGCTGGCATTGAGATTCTCCGTCGAAACCCAGGCGCAAAGGCTCGGACCCTCAGAATTCTTGAGGTCGAAGAAGCTGTCGTCCGGCGTCGGCGTATTCTGCGAATCAAGCCTTCAGCTTTCTTGGAAGGGCCAAGGAGTTAAGCATTTGCAATGTTCGAGGTTCCCCCCGAGTTCTCAAGGACGGGGCCGAGGCGGTCGACACGCAGCGTTAGCATTCAGCTAGACCCAAGAAGCTGGAAGTGCAGGAACAGGCAGGTACCACTCTGCAGCAGCAAGCTCAGCAAGACCCAGAACCAGGCCCGTGCGCGGATCCCGGGTTGGTTCTTCGCCTTATGTTGGGTATCGCTTAGGCCTAGGCCGTTTTGGGTGTATCATGATGAATGAACCCTCGATAAAGTTGTACCCTGTACCCTTCACAACCGGAAATTGCACTTAAGGAAGGTGGTCGGCCCTGAAACCACTACAGAACGCATTTCGACTCTAGGGCACCAGGGGCACAATGACAGCGGCATCGAAAACCGACTCTGCTAGGACCAGCTCGTTGCATAGATCTGCTGATGCGTCCCACTCTGCGTCGCTCGCACACCTTGCGCCCGGAGATCCCATGTGGAGATTGTTTTTTCTTGGGGGGATCAGGTTCCTTATACAAAGGGCACACAAACGGGCCAGCACAAATCCTACCATGTAGAAGGCTTGGTGCTGGCTGCTGCTCCCCAGCTCAGAGTCACAGGAAGTGGACATGTGGCAGAATGGTTGGAGTCTTGGGTTTGCTTGGATTCGGGCTCAGAAGCCCTAAAGGAATTACAGGTTTGGGCTTCAAGGTTTAACTAGGGTTTAGGGTTTAGGGTTTAAGGTTAATTAAGGGTTGAGGATTAGGGTTTAGGGCTCAGGGTTTAAGGGTTAAGTTGTAGGGTTTAGAGTTTCATCAGTAGGCACATGATCGGTCTCGGGGTTAGGGTTAGTCTGTGCACAGCTTCTGGTCTCGAGCAAACCCAACTTGGCGTGAGCGGAACTTTCAGCAGCCAACGCCGCACTAGAGCCGAAGGAGTGGCATGAGGGATCCGGGTTCAGGGTTTTGGGCTTAGGGCTTAGGGCTTATGGCTTAGGGCTTAGCGCTTAGGGCTTCGGGCTTCGGGCTTGGGGCTGAAGGAACCCTACTAAAAACACCCGAAACGTGTGCTCTAGGACTCTAGGCCACTATTGTTTAAGTCCAGGGTCGAGGGCTTAGGCTTTAGGCTTTGATGTTTGTGGTTTGAAGGACGCTCCCGATTGCAATCCCGCGCATATATTCAACTCGGGCTCCGTATTGACAGAGTTTAGGGTCCAGGCAGTTCAGGGTGTGGGGGTTTAAAGCTTGGGGTTTCATTGCGGCTCAGAGCTCGAGAGCTCTCAGAGTTTAGAGGTTAGGGTTTGGGGGATTTGGGCTGGCGATACGCAGCCCTCAGACTGCTAGAGGTTGGGGGCTGAAGGCTTCTAGGCCTAAGCCTTTGGAAGTAGGACCAACCCAGCCGCCCTATAACCATGATACCGCTGTGAAGATCACCGTTCGCGCAAGCGCATTCCACTGCTGACACAAAACATTACTCTGACTCTGACGGGCAGGCTCTTCGGCAAAGTGGGTAGGGCGCCGCTCAAGGTAATCCATTATGCCAGATCGAACGTAGTAAGCCACAAATTGGACAAGCCGATGCGAGCAGCTCTCGAGGCTCTCAGAGAATCATCTCCAATTGCAAGCCGTCGACTGTTCCGAGGACACCGACAACGAAACGGTTCACCATCATCTACACGGATGCGTACTTTAAGAAAGGAGCAAGCATTTTTTGCCCGAAGGACGAAGACTTGCATATCTCCAACAACCGAACCTTGTACCAGTCCGAGAATGCATGGGCGGCCGTAGCCTTTTTGCATGGAGGCCCAAAGAGAGCTGCGTACTTTCAAGGAAGACGACCAACACTCGGATCAAGCCTTCATCTACCTGCTGGAGGCATGTCGCAGTAATGGCACCGCTCATATTCCTCCCATGGCTCGGAGACTTCCATGTCCAATGTTGTGACAATGAGGCGGCGCGACATGCCTTGAAATGATCAAAGGAGTCTGCAAACATCAGCCTGTCAATGCGCTCATCTGCGCACATTGGACTTGGCACAACAGACGTGCGTTGAAGCACAGATTGGAGAGTGCCTACCAACGTTTTCCCCCCAATAGGACCTTCCGCCTAGGTGAGAGGTCGGGGGATGACCCACGTAGACCTCCGGTGGTCACCTGCGACGGGCAAGAGTGCTCCCACCTACGACGGGACATGCCGAGCGCACTCATGTGGCTTTGATGAATCACCGTGTGAACAGTTATGTTGCCGTCGAAGTACAGCGTGATCTTTTGGCACCGGAGAGGAAGCAGGCATCAATATTGAAGTGGAACGACTGTTGTTGTGAAACACACTTGTGTGTGCAGTGACAATTCCAATCACACGAAGTTCTCAACATGCATGCGGATGACATGCCTGTTTAAAGATGTATTACGCATGCCATGTTGGCTCAGACCCGGTCTAAGTAAGTGGAGAGAGAATTTCTTTCCCACCTTGCCCAACCCATTTGTTCTTTTGCTTCTAGATTTCCTGAACGTCTTCGGCAACAACATCGGGACATACCGATCGCACTCATGAGACTGTGATGAATCACCGTGTGGACAGAGCCGGTTCGTTACGAACCTCATTTATGTTGCCGTCGAAGTACAGGGTGAGTTTTTTGCACCGGTAAGGAAGCAGGTAAGACAACAAGTGCGAGTGCTTCACATCAATATTGAAGTGGAACGACTGCGTCATGGGGTTTAGGGTTTAAGGTGTAGGATTTGTCGCGATCGCTGGAGATAAGGACTCCTGGTGTGCGATGTTCTGGTTGGGGCGGCTGTCTCTTGGAAGTCTTCATATGAAATCCCAAGACGCCGTTGAGGATTTCGAAGCCTGAGAAGCTGCTCGTAGCTCCTGTCTCTTCTTCCATGCTTCCGTAATCATCAACATATTGCAGCACGGGGCACAAAAGGAAGGTGCCTGCCAGGGAGACTAGGACGTCTCCAAATCTGCTGTATCCCCACACTGGCCATAGAACCGAAGTTGAAGATCTGGACGTTGTGGCTCCACAAGGTTGATCCGTCCGGCGTGAAGAGAATGACATATGCCTGTTTTGGGTCATCCAATGGTAGTTGTCGGCACGCGCCATCATGGTCATGTCCCCAGATCAATAGTATGATGTCGCTGCCGAGCTCTTCTTGAAAGGCAAGGCCGAGAGCTATGAAGTGGTCTGGCGAACGGTGATATGCTTGGTCATGCAGAACGCGATTGGTCTGCGGTTGAAAGAGGAAAAAGAAGCTCGAGAGGCTGCAGATATGAGCGACAGGTGGTCTCCACGTCGTGTTTTCTCCGAGGATCCACGAAACCTGCGAGCGGCCTCCGCAAGCCACCTTCAGGCGTAAAGAGACTGATGCGGACGGAACGCAACAGTGCGTACTGGACCACCAACTCGGGATGGCCATTGCCGGAACAGCTTCCATTGCTGGGCTTTGCATGGCAACAAACGGCAGTACTCCGACTGGCATCAGCTTGCCAATCTTGCAATTCCCGCTTCGACTTGAGGAATTGTGCCAGAGAGAGATGTTCGACGGGCCACCGCCGGCGATTTCCAAGTTCGGAAGTTGCAGTCTTTGGCCGCGTCTGACCGACTTACCAGAACTTTTTACGAGAATGGGCCCCTCCCCCTTCCTTTCCCGGGCCGTCTGGACCGCTTCCGGGAAGAAACTGCTTCCGGCTCGTCGACCCGGAGCCACCGGAGGAAGTGTTTGAGCTCCCGCTGCACCGGAGTGCCCGCGAAGTTGTTCATGATGGCGGAGAACTGGTGTGACGGAAGTCGCCGAGCAGCAAGGAACTTGACTTTGCGGTTCATGGAGAGCAATAGTTCCGGATGGTGCTCCCCACCCAGTGGTCGGCCGTCTCCGCCTGCATTCCAAAGTGCACGGAGGAGTGGGTCTTCGTGATGATCTTCACCTTGCACCCTTCTTCCCGGAGGCCAGGTGGGTCTTTCCGGTGCCCGCGTAGCCGGTCAGCAGCAGGCTTCCGCCATCGAGGCAGTGAAGCACAGGGTCCTCCGCGACCTTCCAGGTGTCAATGTTGCACATCCACTTCGTCTCGATCCACAGTCCGCGAGGCCCTGGAACTTTTTGGGCAGGTCCTGGAAGACGACGTCCCTTTTGACGGCCTTCAGGTTCCTCGACGGCACGGTTGCGAGTGCATCCCGGATTCTGGAGACGGCGACGCACTCCGAGGCCATCACGAAGTCGTGCACAGCCCAGTGTGTATCCCACCCGCGGCGTCCAGGAACAGCTCCCGGTGCTGGCACCCGAACCCGTCGAAGTGGTGGTTGCTGGTGCGCAGTGTAGATGTTCGTTGCGTGCCACAGCCCGATAAGGGCATTCACCAACAGCTTCGCGTTGTGCTCCTCTCCCTCCGGCCAAGCGCCTCCATTTTCTGCAGGGCCTGAGCCGCGGACTCCTGGTCCACGTGCGCATGTCAGTGACACTGCGCACACCGTGTCAACATGCAGGGGCTCAAACATGCTTGCTCAGCGGAAAGTCGCAGATCGCCCTGCCGTCAGACCTCGGCAGGAGTTTGTTTGCGGGTCGTGACGCCCAAAAAAGTTGTTCTACCCTTCGTGACCCCGTGACTTCCCTGACTGTCGTGATTCCTGTGATGCCGTGATCGTGACACGGTTTCCCCCCGTGACCCTGTCCCGCCCCGAAAGCTCGTGAAATGCCCAAACCTTGGCACCCTCAGAGACCCAACAAATGTGAGACCCTGGTGCCCCTCAAGCCCGTGCGAAGACCAGTGCAATGTGAAACTCTCGAAAGGCCCGTGAAATGTGAAATGCTGGTGCCCCCGAAGGCCCGTGAAATGTGAAATCTCGGTCTCCTCACAGCCCCGTGAAATGTGAAACCCTGGCGCCGGCCTACATGCTGGAAAAGGGCCTTGCGACATAGAGCGACTTCGCAGCCTCAACGCCACGGCGCAGGATTGCGTTCTATTGCCCGTCAGTCAATTGAACTACGTTCCAGAGTGGAGCTCGATTCGTCGAGTGTTGCTGCTCCAGCAGACAGCTGGAACCTACAGGCGCCATGGCACGCGTTGCAGCGGCATTGCAAGAAGACGTGAAAAGTCGAAGGTCCCTCTGGTACCTTTTCCCTTGAAAGCACGAACCCAAACCTATCTCAACCAAGTGCGGACACACTCCTTTTCACTCGCAGGCCTTGAGCCAAAAGTCACGAAGTGCGCAAACTAAACGAATTCACATGTGAGCTTAAACTCAGCTTCAGAACAAAGTTCCTACACACTGCATACTCACTCAAAGTAGCGTGTTGGACAAAAACATACACTCGCATGATTTCCTAGGGAAATCATCGAGCCAAAACATCGAGGATGGGATCACAACGATTCCCAATCACTCCGAAGCAAACAAGACTATACAAGCTGATCCAAAATATGACAAAACCATCAATGATCAGCTACGATCTTCCACCCCCCGCATTTTGCTGAGGGTTCATGCCAAAGATCCAAAGTCCAAGCACAGCTCGGCACTTCAACACTAAGGGGATGCCCTGGCCACATTCCCTTGGTGCGTACTCGCCACCAAAGCGAAACAAACAACACACCAGTCGATCTCTGACATCAAACTTAAAACTCATGCAAGATCCCACCATAAGGTAGGTTGTCCTGAGTCCAACTGGCACCCAAGAGTTCGTTGTCCAAACTCGTGACAAACTAATTCAACTTGCATCATCCTGTACTAGACAGGGTTGTCTTGGAAGGTCTCCAAGAGTTCGTGGTGACAAACACGTTAAAATGAATTAATGCAAGTCTCAGGCTCACCAGTCTCAGTACACGACCTCGACGTAGTCATAGCCTTCAATCTCGCAAACTCCAGGAAAACAAGCTCACCAGCTAGCCTCCGCTGGCAGAGCTCCAACGAAAACACGGCCCTCCTTCAGCATCGCCTCGATTTTCATCCAGGGTGCTTCTAGCCAAAACTCGTTCGTCACGTAGAAAGCGTAGCGCGGGCTTTCCACTATCTGAAAAACCAAACTCACATGCACTGACTCAGGCTTCTCGGAAACCAATGGAAAAACGCGGGCGGGCCATGGCGGCTCGGATGCCACGGCGTCCCTAAAACGGCTGCGGGGCCTCTTCTTCACCCCTTGAGGTCAGCAAGCACCTCAATCCATGTCCTCGCCGTCCACATCATCCCTTTTCTCCTTTTCAACTTTCTCCTTCTCGACATCCATCATCACATCCTTCGATGATCGGCTAGGCTCGGATGTTTTCTTTTCTTGCAACATCCTTTCCACTAAGATTCGCACGCACTTGCTCGGCAATTTGCGCGATCATGGCAGCGTCCATGACTGGCGAGGCCACTGACACGGGAGATCCTCGTGAGTCTTCCCGCTCCAGTCGGGCCTTCTTCCTTTTCACCGCTTCAGCCTCTGCTGCCTCGAGCTCAGCAATCCCTTCTTTTCGCTTTTTCTCAGCTTCTTCTCGATCCTGCTGATCCACAGCTTCCTTTACCATCTCTCTTAACGCCTTTTCCTCAATCTCAAAGTCATCAATTCCTTCGCACATGATCTGCCACACCTGCTGCCACACATCCGACGGCATCATCAGATTGAATTTCTCCACGTAATCCGTTGGGAGACGCCACTTGCATTCGCATTCCCAATTGACCATGCTCCTGGTCTCGTACTCGGTAACTTTATTCCAACCGTTGGCCTTGTTTTTCTCTTCATCCTCAACGATCGGAACTAACGACCCCAACACCGCCTTGTAGTTGCCATAGACGTGAAACGCCCAACGCGGCACTGGTCGGTTCTCCTTGGCCAAGGTCGGATCGTGAATCCTCATCGTGATGCACGAAAGCATCGAGATCGCCCGCACCCCATTCAACATCTCTTGGAAGATCACCATGCCTTTCTTTGCATGATCTTTCCAGCGGTTGATCCACGGTGGATGCACAATGCTCTCCATCTCGTCTTTCAAGCACCGTTCTCCGCAGAGGATTGGCAGTGCAAACAACACATCTACCAACCTCAAGATCCCAAGGTCTTGGGTCTCACCCAGAAGGAGCACAGGTGTGATCCCCTTTCTCTTGGGGTATCGTACGAAACTGATCACACTCAGAGCAAACGTGGATTGTGGCACTTCGAGGTACAGCACACCTTCAGTCACCGCTGTCTCGTGAATCAGGGCCTTGCCACCCGTCTTTCCACGGAGATCAATGACCCCCAACAGCTTCGAAGGTTTCGGCTCCACCTCGGCAATCTCTTGCACCGGCTTCACCAGCTTTTCATAGCTGTTTTGGTACTTCACCATATCCCTGTCTGACAGCTCGGTGACATACTTCGACACATCCAGATCTTCGATTGCCGTTCCACGACGACAGATCGCCCACCAGGCATCGTTGTACCACGTCGGCGGTTCCTGCGCAGCCAGGTCTGGAACCAGCTCAACCATGCGCTCCAGGGATTTGGGCATACTCTTGGGTTTCGGAGGCTGCTGCCCTGAGCCTTGGGCAACTCTTCTCCCCTCACCCTTTTCACCTTTCTTTCCTGCAGCCCTTTTCTCTTTCTCGCCCTCTCGGAGACGGAACGCGTGCGATGCGTCCGATCCATAAACGGTCACAACCGTTTGGCACCTCAAGCACTGGGGCTTTCCTTCATCTGTCCAGCCAAGCCCGGACGCGCGGTCACTTCTGAAGAGCCATTTGCAGGGCTTACACCAAAACGGCGCTTCCATCTCGGCGCCCTTCACTGTTTTCTCGGAGCTTCTTTCAGTACCCATTCTGTCGTCCTCACCTTCAGGCACGACTTCCAGGCTCGGGCTAGCTTCGGTTGTGCTTGAACCAGAGTTCCTGCAGGTTGACCACAAATCCATACTTCGGGTACAACATGGGGGGCTTTCACTTAGATCACTGGAGTTATCAGAAATTTCACTTTCCTTGATGCAATTTTGAAAAACATCATCGCACCGTTGTCCAGCTGCCTCGGATTCCACAACTCGACGTCCAGTTGCTCCAGCATACTGGTACGTCCCGGTCGGCCATCCAATGTGGCGTCGCAGACCACAGATCCTCCAGACTTGTTGCACATTCTCGTCAGGATAGATTCCCAAGGCTCGCTGGTGTTGACAGAA